TCGTGGTGGCCGCGAACTGCAGCAAGCCGACCTTCTGCCGGTACTCTGCTTCCTCGCGCGACTGAAACTCCTCATCGGCGAACATCAGCTCTGAGTAGGCGTCGACGGAGACCGGCGTCTTCAGCACTCGCCCGGTCTGCTCCTCGTCAATGAAACGCCGACGCAGCTGGTCGACGTAGGCTTGCTGGTGAAGCCACAGCTTCCGCGCAGGACGGTCTGTCGGAGATCAATGCTCCTTCCTCCCTTGCCCTCCAGCCAACCGCCTCTGCCCGTGGGGCCTTGCTCCTTGCCGCGCCTCCTCTTCTCTCCCTATGTCTCCCTCCCGCTTCCTTCCTTGTGTGGCTCTGCCTCAGTCCCTTGGTGCTGGCACCAGCTTCCATCCATCCTCGGTTTGGATCTGCAACTGCTGCTGATACCATCTATAGTGGTGCCCCCTGGCCCTCACTCTCTCCGTCATTTCCTCATCTTCCTCCGTCTCTCCCTTCACCCACCGCATGGCCTGCTCGTCTTCCCAAATATCTGCCGGCCCCTTGCCCCCTTTGGCCCCCCCCACTTCTACCTGTCTGGCCAGCAGTGTTAAGGTTACGCTCGGTTCCAGCTGTGGGGGGTTGCGGGAGAGGCCATCCACATGCTGTAGTGTCTTCCCCGGCCTGTGCTTAATCTTGAAGTCGTATTCCTGCAACTTCATCGCCCATCGTGCGTTCCTGCCTGTCAGTCCCGGCGTAGTCATCAGCCAGGTCAGTGGCTGGTGATCCGTCACCAACGTGAATTCCCGTCCTTGCAGGTACACCCTGAAATGCCCCACCGCCCATACCGCGGCTAGTCCCTCCCCTATGTACGAGCTGTACTGCGCCTCCGCCGAGTTGCAGCTCCTGCTCGCGTAGGCCACTACCTTCTCCTCCCCTTGCACTTCTTGGCAGAGTATCCCTCCCATTCCCTGGCTGCTCCAGTCGGTGTAGAGGGTGAATGGCTGGTCTGCTATTGGCAGCCGTAACACGGTCGCCGTCTTCACTGCTGTCATAAGGTCCTGCAGGGCTCCCTTCTGAGCCTCTCCCCATTCCCATGCCCTGTCCTCCCTCAGCAGCCCATTCAAGGCTGTTGCACGTTTGCTGAAGTTGGGCACGAACCTCCTGTAGTAGCTAAGGAAGCCCAACACCGCCCTCAGCCCCGACTTGTCCTTTGGCTCCCGCAGCCTGTCCAAGACCTCTACCTTAGCCTGCTGGATCCCAATCTGTCCTCCCTTCACCTCGTATCCCAGGTACTGCACTGTCTCCTCACCCCACCTGCACTTCTTGGGGTGACATGTGAGTCCCGCTGCTTCTATTGCCGCCAGTGTCTTCTCCACATCCCGCAGATGCTGCTCCTCGGTGGCTTCTTCACTACGTCGTCTATGTAGCACGCCGCACACTCCACCTCCCTCAGTACTGCATCCATAACCTGCTGAAACACTGCCGATGCGTTCCTCAGCCCGAATGGCATGTATAGCCACTCATACAGCCCATCTGGCCCATGGAAGGCCGTCTTCTTGACATCCTCCTCTCTAATCTTGATTTGGTTGAACCCCTGCCTCAGGTCTAACGTGGTGAAAAAGACCCCATCCGCCAGCTTGTCAAATATCTCCTCCGCCATGGGCATGGGGTACCTGTCTGCTACGGTGATCTTGTTGAGCGCCCGATAGTCTTCGCACATTCTCCTGCTCAGGACCTTCCCTGTCAGGTCCTTCCTGGCAGCTACGACTGTGGGCGTGGCGTACTCCGACTCTGACCGCCTGATTAACCCGGCCTCTAGCAGCTCTTTGATTTTCTCCTTGCAGACTTCCTCATCCCCGTGTGGCATCTTCCTCCTCCGGTGGAACACGGGCTCCGTACTGTTCAGCTTCAGCTCCATCTCCTTCACCTTGCACCTCCCCAACTCCTGCATGTTGAAGGCAAAGCACCTCCTGTGCTTGGTCAGCAGCCGCACCATGGCCTCCCTCCCTTCCTCACTCATCGCCTCCCCTACCTTCCACGTCTCCTCCTCCTTCTCCTGGCATGCCCACGCCCCTTGAGGGCGCGGCTCTGTGCCCCCTACTCCTTCCTCCTGCCCCCAGCACATCACCGTCTCTCTCCACATCCGCTGGACCAGCCATCTCATCATGTTGCCATCCATGGCATTCCCTAGGGCTCTTCTCCTGTCAGCCTCGCTCACCCCAGGAGCCGCCGTTGCATTCTCCCCGTACCCCAAGGCCAGTTCCCGCTCCAGTGCGGTCGGCTCTTCCCACCGCTTCTTCTTGTGATCGTAGATGAGTCCTGGGCCCGGCTCCCCTGCTGCCCATGTATACCCTGCCGCCCCTGCATATGCAACCAGAGTGGGCAGCGCTCGCCGTTCCTGTCCCACTTGGTTGCAGGGGTAGTGCCTGCTGTATCCCTTCTTGTCCACCGGCGCTGGGGTCCGTCCAAGCTCAAGGATATCCTGTACTTTCCTCTCTGGCGCCCTCCTCACCCCCTCTATCTCCTCCTGCAGCTTCGGAGCTGGGACTATGTTCTGCCAGTACATCCTCAGTTGGTGAGCCCGTGATCCCATTCTGGCCGCATCGCTGCTCACCCCCTCTCCCAATTGCTCCCTGATCCTCTCCCGCACCAGCCGTACTGGCTCCCTACTGTCTCCCTCTAAGTCCAGATTCTCCACCAGGTAGGCCACTCTCCCCTGCCTCTCTTGCAGCCACTCCAGGATACGGAAGAGGTCCTCCATCAACTGTGTCCTTGGGTCCCCCTTTCCTCTCCCTTTGCCTGCCCATGATACCCCTTGGCACTCCCACCCCGCCACCAGCAGATCTACCTGCCCCCAGCTGGCCACTTCCGCCCCTGTCAACTGTGCCACGTCGTGGCTGTCCCCCCCCATGGCTTCGCGGATGACTCCTGCACTTAGAAGCTCTGGGAATTCCGCTTGCAGCTTCCACGCGTGATGCTCGGCCATCTTCCTTACTGCGGGTGCGCGTTCCATGTACACCCATTTTTGCACTGCTACCCCACTTCTCACCACTGCTGCTAGCCCCGCCCCAATCCCTCCAAACAGCTCCACCAAGCGAATGGGCTGCTGCCAGTCGCTCTGCAGCCTCGGCTCGTTCATCATCCTCATTCTGGGCACTCCCTTGATACCCCACACTCTCTCGTTCTCCCAAGCCTCTCCTGTCTCTGCTTCCTGTCCCGCCACAGCCTGGTATGCTCTCCTGGGCTCCACCTTCACGAATCGTACTGGCAGCTCTCCTAGTGGCCCCTCCTTCTTCCAGTACCGCGTGCGGAATGCCACCCTCTCGGTCCACGTGCATATGGTCATGCCCACCGCGAACACCAGTTCTGTGCCCATCAACACGTCAAAGTCCTCAGACTCGGAGATGCCACATCTCCTCCTGGCAGTAGTGTCATCTCTATGGGTGCCCTTGAGCAGGGCATCCATTTCGGCTCCCCCCCTTCCGCTGTCATCACCAACATCCCCTTTTTCACATGCCTGCCCGGCGCCAAGAGCCCTAACCTCTCAGCCATCCCCTTTCCCAGCATCACACTCTGTGCCCCCGTGTCTATGATGGTAGTCTTTACTTTTTCTCCTTCCACTTCCATCGCCCCTTCCTCCAGCAACAACACTGAGGTCTGACATGCCAGCCTCTCCTGTGGATGGCGTGCTGGCGGCGGAACCACCTCTGGCTCCTCTGGGTTCTGCCCCCTTCCCCGGACCTTCCTGTTCTGCTCCCGACTGCCATCCTTCCCCCCGCTCCTTAGCCCCATCTCCTCTCTTCCCCTCCATGCCATGAGTGCACATTGCACGTCCTGCTCTACCTCCTCTCCCTCCTCGTCTCTGGCGTACATCCCTGCCTCCGCCCCCCACCTTGGTCCTGTTGCCTGTAATTGTGCCTGCAGCCTGCTGATCTGCCGCTGCAAATCCTCAGGACTCCTCCTGGCTCCTCCTTCCCTCTGATAGCAGTCCTTGGCCTCGTGCCCCCTCCTCTTGCACACCTCACACTTAGCGGCATCCGGACATTCTCGCTTGCGGTGGCCAGGCTTCCCGCACCCATCACAGTTCTTGCAATCCTTGCGGAGATGCCCTGGCTGCCCGCAGCGGTGGCAGTTCCTGGTCTCTGCCCGTGTCTCTCCTCGCTCCTCTGCCTTCCCTCTGTCCTCTGGTATCATGGCTGCCGCCCAGGTCGGCCTGCGGGCTCTCCCCATCTGCCGCGGTAGATACGCCTCATATTTCCTTTGTGCGAGCTCCACCCTTTCGGCCAGCTCGAACACCTCATCCAGGCTCGCCTCCACGCCCAGCTCATACACCTTCATACGCAGCCCGCCTCCCAGTGCCTCGTCCAGGCCACCTAGGAACTTGCTTATCAAGAGACTGCTGTCCGTGCATCTCACATCTTCGGCCACATTGGTCAGCCGATTGTAATACGCCAGCAGTGACTCGGTCCTCCCTCGCTTGAATTCCTGAAACTCCCTTATGCGCTCCGCCGTGTGCCCTGGGAACTGCCGTTGCAACCGCTCAAAAACTGCTTCAGTGGGGTCCTCTCCATACCTCCCCGCCCTCCACAGCAGCTCCTCCATCCTCATACGGTATAGAGTCTCCGCTTCTCCATCTAAGGTGTTGGGCAGGCTTAGGAAGAAATCAATGGGGTCCATGCCGTTCCGGTCGCACCGATACTTCACATTCCCCACCTGCATCAGGTAGTTCTTGAGTGATGGCCCCGCCCTCTGATCTCCCGAGAATCTGGCCGGCACCTCTACCCTTGTCGCCGTGGCCCCACCTCCTCTTCCCTCTCCCCAAGACTCACTTGCCCCTCCCCGCAGTCTCCCATACCCCCCTCCTTGCCCTGCTCGTTCCAGTCCCTCTCTGGCCATACGGGCTCGCTCAGCCCCTTGGGCCAAGCTGCCACTCCTGGCCCTGCTCTCCTGCTTCCCTCCGCGCACCTCTCCCGACTGTCCCCACTGACTACCTCCCCTTCCCGTCTGCTCCCATCGTCGTTCCGGCGAGTCATGACTCTGCTCCCACACCCTCGGGCCTCGCTGGGGGTGGCGACCACTCCCTTCTCTCCTGCAGCCGTGTGCCTGGCGGCGCGCGTCCTGCTTCCTCCCGCCCTTCCTCCCGCCAACGGCGCCCGTCAGGCGACCGCGGTTCTCCTCTGGTTCCCCCCCCCCACTGTTGCCGCCTGTGCGGTGAACGCCGCCCCTCCCTACGCCGCCGCGTTTCTGGCGAGTGATGCTCCCCCCCATGGCCTCCTCCCAGCGCCCGCGTTGGCGCCCCAGAGCGAACCGTGCTCTCCTCCGCTCCTCCCCGTCTTCCTTCCGCGCCCCCATACCGTTCGGCCCTTGGCGGCGGTTCCCTTGACGAGCGCGAGCCGCCGTCGCTCGCCTCCGCCCGCCGACGCTGGACTCCCGTTGCGTGTCTGTCCCCTGCCTCGCTTCGTCCGAGCATTCCCCGTGTCGGCATCGTGCGTGTCCCTCCCTCCCGAGCCTGGCCTTCCGGCTGCGGTGCACCGCGGGCAGGCTGTCCTTCCCGACGGTTGGGGCCCGTCGCACGCGACCCCCTCTCCTGCGCCTCTCCTTCCTCCTCTGTCGTTGTCTCTGTGGTGTTGGCGTGTGTCGCACCGGGCGCGCGCTCTCCGTATTCAGGCTCGTCACTGCGCTCCGTCTCCTCGCCGTGCGCCTGCTCGTCGCGGTGCCACTGCCCGTCGTCGTACGCCGGCCCGTCGCCAAGCTCCCGCTCAGCCTCCTCGTGCTCACGCTCCTCCCGCGTCAGTTCGGCCCTACGGTTTGCACTCGGCTTGTTGTCCGTGTGCGTGAATGTGTGTGTGTATGGAATGGTATGAGGGCATGGGATAATATATATTTCATGCTTATAATTGTGTGTGAATGTTGAGTCATGATGTCGAGTGTGTGTGTCGAGTCAATAGCGAGTTATCGCTAGACGCGTGTTACGCGGTCGTTTGTGTCTCGCGCGCGGTTTCTATTTTGTCGTGCGCGGTTTCTATTTTGTCCTGTGTCGAACGTTCGGCGTGTCGCAGGTGTGTGCAGCAGACCCATCAAGAACTCAAGGATGAGTTTGTGATGAAGAGCCTGAGCCTTGGTGTCAAGCCTCAAGTGATTTCGAAGCTCGCCAAAAAGGGTACACCTCAAGATATTGAAGATAGTTACATTACTTTGTGTAGTGTAACATTTCACTTGGTGTAGGCCCTAGTGAAGGGTAGTTTCGAGACCCTTCGTGGTTGGGGACAGTGTGGCACTGTTCCACATCACTGTACCTCGGCTCTTGGGGTTTGTAGGAGCTGGGAGTCATTCCCAACTCGTAACTCTTCCTGTCTTGTGTTCTAAGACTATAGTGGCTGCCATAGTACCGTTCGTTCAAACCGGCGCTGTGTCGTCAGTTCTTTATCAAATCGTGCAATCTAAATTGCTAATTGTAGACGACGTGAAGACGCTCCAGATCCAATTTGAATCAAGTCATTTGCAGCTGTGAGCAGAACGCTATCAACGTTTGAAGCCGCTGTGCAGAAATCCGTCTGTGCTCTCTATCTTTCGTTTTAGGCACATTCAAGCCTATTGTGACTATAACAAGTGGTATCAGAGCCCTTGGAGCAGTTTCGACAATTGCTGGACCTGAGGAAAGAGGTGGCAGAGGTGCTGGTGGCAGTGGAGAAGCCCAAGCTCAAGGCCAACCCCGTGACTCAGCCATGGCGCCCGTGCAACCAAGTGTTGGCCCATCTAGGGACGAGCCTAGAGTGTTTGGCCTTGACAAGTTCAACGGTGACAACTTTGCTGAGTGGTCCTTCAGAATGGAGAACGTGTTTGATCACTATGACCTGCTGGAGGTGATGGAAGGAACGGAGAAGCGCCCCGAGAACGACCCGGAGAAGAGCCCGTGGGTGCGGAAGAGCGCACAAGGCTACCTCCTACTAGGGCAAGCGTTGGGGAGCAGCCAGATCCGTCACATCAAGCCTTTCCAGCGTGAACCAGAGAAGGGACCAAAGGCATGGGCTGCTCTCAAGGGTGTACACGCTCCTGCAACAGCGGCGGTAGCGGTGGTGTTGGAACGGCAAATGGCGGCACTACGAATTGAAGAAAACGAAGCGGTTGAAGAAGGGGTGCAGAAATTCTTCGACTTGTTGACGCGGCTTGAGGGAGCTGATTTGAACTACAGTGAGCTCCAAAAAAAGACCAAGTTGCTGGCCTTACTCCCAGAGTCATGGTCCTCGCTCATCATCAACCTTAATCGCGACTTGCCCCGCCTCTCGCTTGAAGACGTGAAGCGAGCTATCCTTCAAGAGGATTTCCGCCGCCGTGAGTTGGCGAGTGCGGATGGCGCTGGGGCAGCGAGCATCGGCCGTGGATATGGTCGAGGAAGAGGCAGAGGACGAGGGGGAGGAAGGTTTGGTGGCAGCAACTTCGGCGGAGGCCGCAGGAGTGGCGGTTACGGCAGCGACGACAAGAGCTACGGACGCGGTTGCGGCCGATTCGACGGCGAGTGTCACTATTGCCACAAGAGCGGACACATGTGGCGCGACTGCTACAAACTCCCTGATGGTTGGACCCCTGCTCAAGGCCAAGAGGGTAGAGGAGCAGGAGGAGGGAGAGGACGAGGCCGTGGAGGCCGTGGCGGTCGCGGTGGCGGAGCTGCAAACATGAAGAGCGGAGACAACGACAAGGACCCGAGCGACGATCGATACCCGGGTCTATTCTACTTCGTGTCGACGCAAGTACCGGCTGGTCCAGAGAAGGATGAAGGCTTTGAGGAGCCAGCAGCTGTGGGGAAGGTGACCCTACACCCCCTGGACTATTGGGTGATTGATAGTGGCGCTACCTATAGCATGACACCTCGCCCGGACTTGCTCACCGAACTCGAGCCGTCACCGGTGAAGCATGTCACATCGGCTTTGGGGCAGCGAGCAGAGGTGAAAGGCATGGGCAAGGCCATGTTCAAGGGTGCTGATGGGAAGATGGTGGGCCTCAAGAACGTGCTTTGGGTGCCCAGCCTTGCTGCAAACCTGATTTCCGTGCGGCGGTTGGCAAAGGCCGGCATGGACACGAACTCGAAGGGAGCCAAGACCTACACCGCAAGGCTTGGCGATCGAATTCTTTGGGACCTTCATGAGGACAGGGATGTCTACAACGAGATGTGGCAGATCCCAGTGGTCCCTATGCCTAAGGAGAGGCAAGTGGCAGCAAGCATCAGCACCAAGGATGGAGCGGTCGGTAGCGACGATGGCGCGAACGGTCGCGCTAAGGAGAATGAGCTCAAGAAGAGCAAACCTGGAGGGACCAGCAAGTTCAGTGAACCTAAGGAGAGTGGTGCAGCAACCAAGGAGCAGCAAAAGGGTGAGGAGAACCCAGAGGCAGCAGCGGAGGAGGACTACGGAGAGAGTATGTGGGGCGCTATTGCGAGCGCGGCATTCTCCAATCCAACTTCGGCTACGGGGGAGTGTGATTGGCTCACCTTGCATCGGCGCATGGGGCATGTGGCCCTGCCCATCTTGCAGCAGCTAGTGAAGAATGAGATGGTTGCTGGCATACGTGTGAAGGGGGAGCCCGATGAGGTGCTTGGCTGCCCGACGTGCATTCAAGCCAAGTTCACCCGGTTTCCGTTCCCTAGTTCGGAGGCAACGGCAAAGGCACCACTTGATGAGGTGGTGATGGACGTGGTGGGCCCCCTGAAGCTTGGAGCTGCTGGAGCTGAGTATTTTCTCACCATTGTCGACGTCTACACCCGCATGACTTGGGTGTACGTGCTGGCCAAGAAGAGCGACGTGGCTGAAACGTTGAAGACGGATTGGTTCCCGATGGTGGAGCGGCAACAAGACCGTCTAGTCAAGTCAATCCGCACCGATCGAGGGGGAGAGTTCCTGAGCAAGGAGTTTGGGTTGTGGCTGAAGAAGAATGGTATTCGGCACTCCCTCACCATGCCATACTCCCCTGCAATGAACGGCATCGCCGAGCGAGCGAACCGCACAATCACGGAGGCGGCACGCGGGTTGCTCATTGAAGCCGGGCTACCCGACTATTTCTGGCCTGATGCGGTGCGGAGCGCGTGTGTGGCCAAGAACAGAGCCTTGACTCATGTGGGAGCAGACAAATGGGTGCCCTATGTGGAGTGGCTAGGAAGGAAGCCAAAGGTGGATATGCTTCGGGTGTTCGGGTGCATGTGCATGGCGCTCGTGCCTAAGCATCTTCGGCACAACAAGCTTGGTGCCAAGGCGGTGTGGGCCGTGCACTTGGGCATGGCTCAAAACAGCAAGGGATGGCTTCTTTGGGACCCATTCACCAAGAAGTTCTTGGTGAGCAGGGACTGCAAGTTCATGGAGAACTTCATGTACAAGGATTGGAAGGCGGAGAATGAGGCGAAGATAGGCGTGCGGTTTGGGGAGGTGAAGAGTTCCGGTTTGGAGCATGTGGAGCTGCCTTTGGAGCTGAGCAGCGGCAGCACAACCACAAGGCAATCCTCCCTTGTGAATGGGGGAGAGGAGGCCAATGATGCAGAGGAATAAGAGGAGGAGGTGCAGCAAGTGAGCGAGCGTGCACCGTCACTCCCTTCCCGTACTACGAGTGCTCCACGGATTCGAGCCACACCGCAGCAACGCCAAGGCCTTCAAGTCCCTGCAGATGAGGAGGAAGGAAGGGGGAAAAGGAGAGTTCAACCCCCTAATAGGCTGACCTATGATGCGCCGGGAAAGCAGGGCAAGACAGCCCTGGCCGGAGCGGCAATGATGGTCGGAGACGACGAGGAGAGTGACTACGAGGAGTGTGCCTTCGCGTTCTTCTCTCCGGTGGAGATGCCGGGAGAACCAGCAACTCTCAAGGAGGCTTTGGAGAGTAGTGATGCTGAGGAGTGGAAGAAGGCCATGGAGAGTGAGCTGAAGAGCATTGAGGAGAATGACACGTTTGAATTGGTGGAGCTACCGGAGGGGCGTACGGCGATAACGTCCAAGTGGCTCTTCAAAATCAAGTCGGATGCCGACGGCAAGATCGAGCGCTACAAGTCTAGGCTTGTAGCCAAGGGGTACCAGCAGAAGGAGAAGGTGGACTTCAAGGAGCTGTTTGCCCCTGTGGTGAAGCCGACGACGCTGCGAACCCTATTCGCGGGAGCCGCCATCAAAGGATGGGTAGTAAAGCAAATGGACATCGTAACGGCATTCCTTAACGGCATCCTTGAGGAGGAGATTTTTATGGCGCAGCCAGAGGGGTTTGATGATGGTAGTGGCAGAGTGTGGAAGCTGAAGAAGGCCCTCTATGGGCTGAAGCAGGCCCCTAGGCAATGGTACATGAAGCTGCGCGAAGTGTTGGAGGGGATCGGCTTCACTCCCTCAACGGCCGATCACTCCTTGTTCATGCTTGGCGAGCGGGAGCAGAGGAGTTTCATGGTGGTTTATGTGGATGACATCCTCATTTTCTCACCCTCTTCTGACCTTGTGAAGGAGGTGATGCTGAAGCTTCAAGACAAGTTCAAGTGCAAGGCCCTTGGTGACGTGAGCTTCTACCTTGGGCTCCACATCGAACGAGATGTGGAGAAGCGGTGCATGCGGGTGCATCAACGAAAGTACCTGGAGGCATTGGCTGCCAACTTTGGGCAGAGTGAAGGCCATGTGGCTACACCCTTTCCCTCTGGGTTCAAGTGTGTGAAGGGACCAGAGGAGGAGAGCGTTGGTGAAGAGGAGAGGCGCCGATTTCACTCGTTGGTGGGCAGCCTCATGTATGCGGCGGTAAACACCCGACCGGACGTCGCGTTTGCTACCGGGCAGCTGGCTAGGGTTGTGCAATGCCCTAATGAGGAGCAGGTAGCAGCTGGAATGAGGGTGGCCAAGTATCTTGGCCAAACACCGACCGTTGGGCTGCAATACTCGGCGGCGGCACAAAGGCGCCAAAAGGGCGCGGATGGTGTTGAACCCGGGCGTTTGTTCCTCACCGCCTACTCGGATG